TACTTGGTAGTGATCTTTTGTCACTATCTAATGAAATACACCAAGAAATTTGGAAAAAAATAGAAGAATTTACCGAATTAGGTTCGGGTTGGAAGTTTGAAATGATCAAGGAAATTTTGTTTCACACGATGAAATATGACGCATTACGCGGTAGTTCGTATATCGACCTGCCACCAAAAATAAAAAATAAACAGTGCTGTATAAACATAAAAAACGTCGATAGCAAATGTTTCCAATGGGCTGTTCTTTCCGCGCTATTTCCAGCAGAAAAAAATGCTGATCGTGTTGAGAAGTATATCAGTCACGTGTCAAGATTAAATTGTGCTGGTATTGACTTTCCAGTGGCAGAAAATCAAATACCAAAGTTTGAAAAGCAAAATAATATTTCGATTAACGTTTTCGGATTAGATGAAAAAGAAAATGTCTATCCGAGGTATATTTCAGAAAAAGCTTCACAATCGACTATCAATTTACTGTTTTATAAAAATCATTACGTTTGGATCAAAAACTTTAACAGACTAGTTGGAAGACAGTATAATAAAAATAACAACAAAAAGTTCTTTTGTTATCGCTGCTTGCACGGTTGTAGAGACAATGAAACATTACAAAAGCATTTGCAGTACTGTAGTGACGTACAAAGAATAACAATGCCATCTAAAAAAGATAGCGTGTTACAGTTTGTCCATCATAATCATAAACTAAAAATTCCTTTTGTCATATACGTCGATTTCGAATGCTTACTTCAACCTGTACTTGGTGTAGAAAATGATCCTAACCAATCGAGTACAAGAAAAATTCAAAATCATGTTCCATGCGGAGTAGCGTACAAGGTAGTTTGTTGCGCTGATTCGAGGTTATCTAAACCGATCAAATTATATCGAGGTAAAAATCCAGCTGTCTGGCTTCTCAAGCAGTTGATTAACGAAGTTGATAATATTACTTATCGTTTGAAAAAAGTAACTCCAATGTTAAAATTAACACCTCAACAAGAATCTGATCACGAGCAAGCGAAAATTTGTTATATTTGTGAAAAAGCTTTTGACCCTGACAACAAAAAAGTACGTGACCATTGCCATTTGACCGGACAGTATCGTGGAGCGGCTCATGACCAGTGTAATTTAAAATTTCACGCTCCAGATTTTATTCCAGTTATTCTTCACAATTTTCGAGGATATGATAGTCACATTATAGTAGAAGCTTTTGGTGATCTTGATATAAAATCTCGTCTAAAACTCGATAACATCATCAAATGCATCCCAAATAATTTTGAAAAGTACATGTCAGTTACGCTAGGTAAATTGCGTTTTATTGACAGCCTGCAGTTTATGGCAGACTCGTTAGATGAGTTAGTAAAAGGTTGTAGTAAATTTAATAACCTAAGAGACTGTTTTGGAGATAAATTTAATCTATTAGCTAAAAAAGGAGTTTTTCCATACGAATATCTCGACGATTGGAGTAAATTTGATGAAACATCTTTACCTGACAAAGACAAATTTTACTCGCAACTTAAAAATGAAAATATAACTGATGACGAGTACAAGTATGCACAAGATATTTGGAAAGAGTTTGATTGTGAGACTTTTGGTGATTACCACAATTTGTATTTGAAAACTGACGTGTTATTATTAGCAGATGTTTTTGAAAGTTTTCGAGAAGTGAGTTATAATAATTACGGACTAGATCCTTGCTGGTATTATTCTGCCCCCGGACTGTCATGGAATGCTCTGTTAAAGTTTAGTAAGGTAAGGTTAGAATTACTGACTGATGTTGATATGTTCAATTTTATTGAAAAAGGTATCCGAGGCGGTATTAGCGTGATAACGAAGAAATATGCTGAAGCAAACAACAAATATTTGAAAGAGTATAATCCTGACCTTCCTTCGAAGTATATAGTTTATCTAGATTGCAATAACTTGTACGGGTATTCGATGGCAGAACCAATGCCTCTTGGTGGCTTTCATTGGATCACGGCTGATCAATTTCTATCAGAGACAGAAAAAAAGATACCCGACGATGTTTCGTATTTCGTTGAAGTTGATCTCGATTATCCAACTTCGCTACACAAATTACATAACGATTACCCTTTCTGTGCGGAATCGATGGTTATAGATTATAGTTTGTTATCAAAAGAACAACAAGCGTTAGCATCACCAAGGCAACATTCTATGGTAAAGAAACTAGTACCAAATTTGCTTCATAAACGTAATTATGTTTTGCATTACAAAGCTTTAAAACAAGCAGTCGATGCTGGTCTCGTGTTGAGAAAAGTTCATCGCGTACTAAAATTTAATCAGTCGCCGTGGATGAGAGGTTATATTAACTCAAACACTACAAGAAGAGCTGCGGCAAAAACTGATTTTGAGAAAAACTTTTTCAAACTGATGAACAATTCTGTTTTTGGTAAGACGATGGAGAATATTAGGAAACGCGTAAATATCGAACTAGTCAATGATGTCAATCGCAGAAACAAACTTGTGTCAGACGATGATTTTGTGAGCATGAAAATTTTTAATGAGAATCTTGTTGCGATACAAAGAAGAAAAACAAATCTAAAACTAAACAAGCCGATCTACGTTGGAGCTTCAGTGTTAGATTTATCAAAGTGGCTGATGTACGATTTTCATTATAATTTTGTTAAAAATCAATGGCCGGCTAGTAGATTATTATTTACTGATACTGATTCGCTCGTATATGAAATCGAATGCGAGGACATCTATCAGGATATGCATGATAATAGATATCTGTTTGATCTTTCTGATTACCCACGTGACAGTAAATTTCATGACGACACAAATAAAAAGGTTATTGGTAAGTTCAAAGATGAAATGAACTCGAGCGCTATCAAATACTTTATCGGATTACGTAGTAAAATGTATGCCGTATTGTTAGACAATAATAAAGTAACAAAAAAAGCAAAAGGTCTGCCTCGTGATTTTGTTAAAAAGTTTATAAAATTTGATGACTACAAGTACGCGCTTGATGGTGGTGTTAGTTTTATAAGAGCTATGTCAATTCGGACAAATCATCATAAGCTCGAAACAGATGTCCTTATCAAACGCGGTTTGAGCAATTTTGATGATAAACGTTATTGCGAAAATGGGGTAGATACATTTGCACTTGGGTATTGTCATGATGATAGAGATATATTTGACATTATCTTTGCAAACTAAAATTTTATCTAAACTTTAAAAATAATGTTTGAAAATTTGACAGTAACAAATAGCTACAGTAGCAAAATCAAATATCTAATGATGGACGGCAAACCATTGACAGTTGAAATTAATAATGAAACATCAGGCATATGCTTTAGTGGTACTCGTGACAAGTTAAAACTTTCGCTCATCAGATCTGATGACAGCGAGTATTTTAATTATCTCGAACAATTGTATCAAAAGTTGCTAGCGGAATTTAACAACTTTCACTGTCCGATTAGTCAGCAAAAATACACCAAACTTACAATTGATCTTGATCGGTCAAAGTTGTATTTTATCGACAAAAAATACCCTCTTAACAAATCACAAATAAAAGATTTGTTTGAGTCCCGTCGTTATGTCAGCGGTAAAATAAAGTTTAGCCTCTATCACCATGATAATGAAATATTTTTGATATCTACAGTTGAGACATTAATCATTGGTAATGAGGTATAATACCACTTACCTTACTGGAATTCTAATGCGTAATTTAGTCCACAATCGCCACGCTCTGCTAAATCGTAATGATTTGAAAGATTGAGTCTGACACATCATTTTGCTTATTCTGAAAGATCACGTAATTAAATTTTACCTGTTACCTAGGTATTTTGCAACAGGTGTTCTATTGTATTTGTTTGGAGGTCTAGAGGGGTTGTTGAGCTCGGATTCTTAGCGCAATTATTGATTGCAATAGGTTTTCTATTACGTTACCTAGGTATTTTGTATTTGTTGAGCTCGGATTCTTAACGCAATTATTGATTGCAATAGGTTTTCTATTACGTTACCTAGGTATTTTGTATTTGTTTGGAGGTCTGGAGGGGGTTGTTGAGCTCGGATTCTTACTTTCTCCTACTACTCATATAACTTGATTTTTTTTTAAATTTGAAAATTACCTGATGGACCATACCCTAGTGTATAAATATCAATCAACTGTGCTAACAGTACTTCACATCCTTGATTAATCTATTGGATGATATTAAAACTCAAACTATCAAAGACCTATTTAAAGGAATGATTATGCTAGAATTTTGAAATACTTTTAAAATCAGTTAAATGGTCTGGAACATATTCAGGTAACAGAAAACAAATAATTAAATTAAGTTTGTTTTGTAACTGATTGAATTACCTTCATTAAATACAACTATTATTATTATTATTATTATTATTATTATTATTATTATTATTATTATTATTATTATTATTATTATTATTATTATTATTATATTGTATATTTAATTTGCATTGTTTCCTATTTTTTTTTCATTTGTTATATTATGTGGGCTCTGTTGAATTGTATCTTGTAAATGACCTTGTTAAAATTTAATTTCATTGTTTACTTGACCCAAAATTTAAAAAAATTCTGTACACAACCAATGTATAGCTAATATTTTATCTATAATTGTTGGCTTAATATTAGAATCATTTTCAACAGAAGTAAACATCTAGGTCTGAGTCAAGGACATCATGTTTTTTATGTTCTTTTTTGAAATTTTAGTAACAGACTGTCTAATTATAATTATGATATTTCTAGAAATAAACTTTGGACCCTCATTTAGGATTTTTTATGTCTTAGTTTTTTTTTGCATATAAGCCTTGTTTATTTGAAAATCAATCAATGATGCTATAAGATCTTGAGGTGGAATCATTTTTGTGTTCAGTGTTTGATTTGGGTTGAAATTATTATTATTATTATTATTATTATTATTATTATTATTATTATTATTATTATTATTATTATTATTATTATTATTATTATTATTATTATCAAATTTAAATCATTCTTCTCTGGAAATTCAGGACATTGGTAACTGCTCTGGTGTCCTAGTGGTTAGAGCGTCTGCCTTGGATGTGGGAGGTCACAGGTTCGATCCCTGGTTGAGTCATACCAAAGACTTACAAAAATGGTACTAAGCGGTCTAAAGCGCTCTCCATTACGGATCACTGCCATCTTACTTCTGTCTGCGTGGGTTCAAGTCTAAGATTCGGAGAATGGAGATATATGAGAAAGCTTGCTAGTAGCTTCGTGTGGGTCGGTGGTTTTTTCCCCGGATTTCCCGGTTTCATTAATACTGGCTGCCATGTATAGCCTATCATGTGCTGAAAAATGGCATTAAGCCCCAGAACAACAACAACAACTAACAGCTGCCTCACTTGGTGCTCAGCATTTAGAAGTTAATGTTAGGACTGGTCGGCCTGGTGTCAGGATAATGTGACTGGATGGGACATCATGCTACATGTCTGCAGCATGATGCCCCAGTGCTAGACACCAATAAACTACCACACTGCAGACATTGTAGCGATATGACTGAAAAATTGTTAAAGCTATGTTAAAAATCATACTCACATCACATCACATCAGGACATTGGTACATCAGTACATTAGAGGCTAAGGACTACTAGAGGCACATCAACACTTTCAGCATTGGAAATTGTTTAGAATACCACTAAAGTTTATTCACAATTTTTTTGATTAGGACATGTATTAGCATGATTAATTGGGATTTAATTTACAATTCTGTAAGTTCTTTTGTTTTTACATTTTCACTTTTAATCTAGGGAAATAAATTATTTCTTGAATTTAACAAAACTTGATGGTTTTTGCTCTTTACTATTACTTATTTTAAGACAATATTATTATTATTATTTTATCATTAATATTTTATTTTTATTTTTATTATTATTATTATTATTATTATTATTATTATTATTATTATTATTATTATTATTATTATTATTATTATTATTATTATCCCTCAAAAATGCTACTATAAGCACATATATTATATAATGTCAAAAATTTGTAAACACCATGAGAAAAATAACAAAGTTTCATTATGTTTCAATCTAATGCAAAGCTCTTCCTCAGAGGACACACACACACACACACACACACACACACACACACACACACACACACACACACACACTTTTAGGGATATCTTAAAAAGTTAAAACTGATTATACTTTCAATTTATGTACATTTTTCATTATGAAATTCTAATAACTTCATAACATAGAGTGTAATTATTGTATTGAAACCCTCTTAACTAGGTGTTCATGTGGTGGGAGTAGATTAGGGTAGTCTTTGGAGAACAGAGAAAATGAAATACCTGTTTAAATGAAACAATGAACACAGTACAGACAAGACTAATATAAAAAAATCAATGAAAGAATAGACGAAAAGAATATTATATAGAACAATAAACAAATATGGTACCAATACACAGCAAATCTGCTATACACAGTCCAATTTTTTCCTAATATCCAAGTTCTGAACAAAGTGAGTCTTGCTCATGTAAAAGCATATAGCTCTTCACCGACGTGGTTTTTGCTTTCGCTTCGGATGAAGCGCCAAGGAAGCAAATGGAGAATCTGATAGACGAGTTCTGCTCAATCACAGGTAAATGTCATCTATTATATATGTACATGCTCATTATCACTAATAATTCAGTATCGCACATGGAAAGTATTTATACGATATACATTGTGTTTCTTAATTTTGAACCCCCACCCCGAACAAAAATAGTCAAACAATGAAACCCCGGTGCATAGAAACACCGAAACTCACCAAAACACCTGAAAGTAATGATAAAACCGAAATGCACTTTATTTATATCATATATAGCATAGTGCTGAGTATTATAATTCATAACTTTGAAATTTAATATTAGTCATACAAAATATGTGCTTTTTTATTGCAAGTGATACTGTAGTCCAACGCTATATTTTCGCGAGCTCAATATTATCGCGGCAAATGGAATTTTCCGATTAATTTTGGACACGCGTCGTCTAGTGGTTGTTTACGTATGTAAAACTGAAGCCAGTAAGGAAACGAATATCTTACAGTGCAGTTTTCTCTAAAATGTCAATATTTTTATAAGTTTGCAATGAAAAAGAATGAATATCACTTTTTTTTGTAAAGTACATGCAATGACGTTGATCACCGTAAATAAAACTAATGTCAAACTTGCCTTACCTGCATTGGATTTGACTATGAATTATATTCAATATAGGTTATATCCTGATAATGACATACACCTATGAGTCTTGTTTTCCCATTGGACAGATTGGTGGGATGGGTTCTTAGATGAATTAAGTTATTCCCATTGGATGGGTTAGGTTATGTAGATTCTTTGACAGTGTGGAATATTTGCAAAAAGTCACATAGCTAAAAGTAGTAAAATGTGTTTTCACCCATTGTGCTTTTATATAAACATGTGGAGCTGGACAATTTTGATTAGCTTTTTTTTCTAATGTTCTTGTTGTATTTTATGTAGTGTTTAGATATTATTTGAGACAACATGTTTGTTTAGGGGGCCCCGAATGGCAGAGTGGACTAAAGTGCTAACTGTTAAAGATTGCTGCCATCTTACCTCAATCTGTGTGGGTTTGAGTCTCGGGCTTGGCCAATATGGGTATGTGAGAAAGCTTGCAGTAGCTTCTTCAGAATCGGTGGTTCTTTACAGGGTTTTCCTGGTTTCTTCCACCATTTATACTGGCCACCATGTATGGCCTATTTTGTGCTAAAAAATGGCATTAAACCCTACAACAGCAACAACAACAACATTTGTTTTAGGTTATTCATTGGTACTACAAAGTGCACATTGAACTAAAATATTATTCTGGGACTATTATGAATATGCAAAGGATTTCTTAGCTATACTATTTTGATACATCAGGACTGTTGTTGGACTGGTGCATTCAATGATGTGAAATTCATTTGGATGTTTGGTTCTTTTGGACTCGAATATAATATTTTTAGGATTAGTTTGGATTAAATTCATAATACTGTAAGTTCCAATTACATTTTCATTTTATAACTTTGATAATTATATTATATGTTTAGGTTTACAAAACTTGTTGGTTTGCTTCATTTTGTTAGATAGTTTATGAAGTTAAAGTGATACCACTGATGATGTAGCATAAAGGTAGGGTTACCCTATAATTGATGACATGCAACTTTTTTGCATTTGGCTGAATTTTTAATTTGGTAATCAGCATGAATCCTGCCATTATGCATACTAGAATAGACGCTGTAAAGCACACATCATAGCAATTGCAACCTAGAATAGACCCTGTAGAGCATACATCAGTAGCAATAGCAACCTAGAATAGACCCTGTAGAGCAAACATCAATAGCAATGGCAACCTAGAATAGACCCTGTAGAGCAAACATCAATAGCAATGGCAACCTAGAATAGACCCTGTAGAGCATAGATCAGTAGCAATAGCAACCTAGAATAGACCCTGTAGAGCATACATCAATAGCAATATCAACCTAGAATAGACCCTGTAGAGCATACATCAATAGCAATGGCAACCTAGAATAGACCCTGTAGAGCATACATCAGTAGCAATAGCAACATAGAATAGACCCTGTAGAGCATACATCAGTAGCAATAGCAACCTAGAATAGACCCTGTAGAGCATACATCAGTAGCAATAGCAACCTAGAATATACCCTGTAGAGCATACATCAATAGCAATGGCAACCTAGAATAGACCCTGTAGAGCATACATCAATAGCAATGGCAACCTAGAATAGACCCTGTAGAGCATAGATCAGTAGCAATAGCAACCTAGAATAGACCCTGTAGAGCATAGATCAGTAGCAATAGCAACCTAGAATAGACCCTGTAGAGCATATGTCAGTAGTAATGGCAATTTAGAATAGACCCTGTATAGCATACATCAGTAGCAATGGCAACCTAGAATAGACCCTGTAGAGCATACATCAGTAGCAATAGCAACCTAGAATAGACCCTGTAGAGCATACGTCAGTAGTAATGGCAGTTTAGAATAGACCCTTTATAGCATACATCAGAAGCAATGGCAACCTAGAATATACCCTGTAGAGCATACATCAGTAGCAATAGCAACCTAGAATAGACCCTGTAGAGCATACATCAGTAGCAATAGCAACCTAGAATATACCCTGTAAATGTAAAACAGACATCATTTACAATGGCAACCTAGAATAAACCCTGTAAATCAGACATCAATAGCATAGGCAACCTAGATTTTACCATGTAAAGAATACATCATAAGCAATGGCAACCTAGAATAGAACCTGTAAAGCATGCATCAATAGCAATAGCAACCTAGAATAAACCCAGTATAGCAGACATCAGTAGCAATGGCAATTATTGAATAAACACTGAGAAGGATACATTAATAGCAATGGCAACCTATAATAGACCCTGAGAAGCATACATCAGTAGCAATGGCAACATAGAATAGACCCTGTAGAGCATACATCAGTAGCAATAGCACCCTAGAATAGACCCTGTACAGCATACATCAGTAGCAATGGCAACCTAGAATAGATCCTGTAGAGCATACATCAGTTGCAATGACAACATAGAATATGCCCTGTAAATGTGAAACAGACATCAATTACAATGGCAACCTAGAATAAACCCTGTAAATCAGACATCAGTAGCATAGGCAACCTAGATTTTACCATGTAAAGAATACATCATAAGCAATGGCAACCTAGAATAGAACCTGTAAAGCATGCATCAAGAGCAATAGCAACCTAGAATAGACCCAGTAAAACAGACATCAGTAGCAATGGCAGTTTTTGAATAGACACTGAGAAGAATGCATTAATAGCAATGGCAACCTATAATAGACCCTGAGAAGCATACATCAGTAGTAATGGCAACCTAGTAGTAATGGCAATCCCGAGAAGCATACATCAATAGCAATGCATCCTAGAATAGGTCCTGTAAAGCATACATCAGTAGAAATGACAACCTAAAATAGACCCTGGGAAGCATACATCAATAGCAATGCATCCTAGAATAGGTCCTGTAAAGCATACATCAGTAGAAATGACAACCTAAAATAGACCCTGGGAAGCATATATAAATCATAAACA